CTGAGCGGTCGCTCCGCGTCCCTTTCCTTGGGGCGGTGTGTGTGTGTGTGTGCGCGCGCATCGGGGCCCACGAAGGCCGCCGAGGGGTGGATACGAGGAGACTTTCGCTTTTGGGGGGGGAGGTTGGGGGGCCTGAAGCTTATGGGGGCCCTCTACGGATCCACGCGGAAGAGGGGTTCATTGGCGTCCGGAGTCGTGAAGTGCCAGAGACCCTCGTTGGGGGGTTGAGAAGGCACCAGTGGCTCCCTCCGGAGACCCGGACGGCGCCCCTCCTGGGGGTCCGAGAGGCCCCCAAGTCCTGGCTCTGCTTCCAGGCCCGGGGAGCGGGTCGGGTTTGACTGCTGTCAGTGGTAGTGATGCTTTGTCCGGGCTGCTTGGTGGTCTTGTAGGTGTTTGGCATTGGTGTTGTTTATTTTGGGGATGTTGTAAGCCCAGAGCCTTCTGGAATGGGTGGCCATAATAATGCATGTGTAATAATGTACATAATGTATGTGTATGTCTGTGCCTTCAAGTCAGCATTGACTCCTGGTGACTGCCTGGACTAGTCCCTGCAGTTTTCTTGGCAAGATTTTCAGAAGTGGTTTGCCCTGGCCTCCTTCCTGGGGCTGAGAGAGAGGGACTGGCCCAAGGTCACCCAGCTGGCTTTGTGCCTAAAGTGGGACTAGAACTCATGGTCTCCTGGTTTCTGGCCTGGTGCCTTATACCAAACTGACACTCTGGCATAATAATCTTAAATGATGATAATAAAGTTGATGATGGATGGCCACAATCACTTTAAATAAAAATAACAACAGCAGCGCAATAATTATATTTAAATTATATTCAGTGTAACCATTCATTGCATTGAAATTGCACCTTTTCTCTGAAAACTTCCATCTCACCAGCAACAGCCCTGTGAAGTGGGTTGGGGACTTGTCCAAAGTCACCCAGGGAGCTGGAAGGTTTGATGGGGACTTGAACTAGGTCTCCGTGGTCCAACTGCTTAACTGATACGTTACCTGGCCAATAACCATGATAGTAAGGCTTTATTATGTTATAATATTGCCCTGGAATTGCAGCATAGAAGCGCTGTCTGGGGACCAAGGGCCTGTTGGGAACTTGCACCTGTCACTTCTTTGAAATGCGCATAATCAGCAGAAGAATTGCATGGCTGCATATCAAACAGCATCTAGTAAATTTGAGGCACTTTATGTATGATATGTGTTCTTAGCATTAGGTTGTTTCCACTAGCCTTGTGCACTAGCATGCACAAACCAGGACACCCCAGTTTTGTTTTTCAAGCAAACCAATGAGCACAGAACTGACCTGAATTATAGTTTTGTAATAGGACTTATAGAGCTCAGGTAAAGATAAATTACAAAAGAATTAAATAAAACGGAGTAAAGTACAAGGACTAGAATACTAAGAACGTTAGATTCTTAAAGCAAAATCACTCAATTATGAAACCATATTTTGAATAAAATACTAAACTATTAAGTTGCTAAACTACTTAATGAATAGATTACTTTATTAATGCAGTGAGGTACTTAACAGTAAAATACTGATTTGATAAGCTATAAAATACGACCCTATTAGTCCATTTATCATACAGTTTATTACAATTACAAGTTGGTGCCAATATTTCAATTCCATATGTGTGATAGACTAAAACTAATAGCCCCTCTCATTAAATGTTGGGCTCCATATAATGATGCCATATTCAGCACACAGCTAAACCAAATTTCACTACTTGCCATATGATTTCAGGCTCTTTATCTGTTAGTAGACATTGTAGGAGGAGAGCCATGTTAGTCTATGGTAGCCAAAAATCTGGAAACTGGTAGCATCTTTCCCAACCAAATCATTTTATTAAAAGGCATAAGGTTTTGTGAGTTGCAATTCACTTTATCAGATGCATCACGCCTTCTGATTATCTGGTAGCAGATACAGTATTTTAATAGTAGATATCAACCAGAGCTATGAGGATTTTTTTGCATTGGTGAGGAAAAACTTTTGGTGTTCTGTGAGTATGTCTGTTCAGGCAACTGTACAGAAGGACATAGGCCAGCATTTCTAATGTTCCTTCCCTGTGTGAGCAGAGTTTTTCTTAAAACAGAGTAGTCTTATGTCCAATATCAAGGATTTCTGATGTGGCCTAAGGTGAATGTTCTACAGCGTTTTAGGAGAGTAAGTTGTTTAAGGCATCCAGCTGCGTGGGGATTATACAATCAATTTACAGTTTACAGTTGTTTCTCTTTGCTATTTTGTTTTTCACATTGTTAATTACAATCCTCTCTCCCATATTCTGGACTATTCCAGAGTTTCCAACTATCAGAAACATGGGAGTTAGGATTGGCGAGAGAGAATGGAGTAGGAGATGGGGGAAAGAGCTGCACTGAATAGAGGATTCACTTAAATTGTAGCCAAGTTTGCTGGTTTTGATGCAACTAAGTCTTATATCATCCTGAAGGCTTATTTATGAAATGTTTAGGTTTCATGGACTGGTCCATCAAATGCATTGAGTGCTATCCTGAATTACAGGTACACCATTTGTAGTCCCTCCACCCAACACTGTGTCTATGCATTTCTAACTCGGAGTAACTCTCTGTGTATCTGAAATGAGTGGTGGTCCATGAATGCCATCATAAATGTGTTCTGTTTTCAGGTAGCACAGAGCTCTTACATGTTCAGTTTCAAATATGATACAAGAGAAGAAGAAAGGAAAGAGATCAACAAAGGAAAAAGGATTTTATTTCAGTAACACATACTTAGTTTTAATTTCAGTAGTGGTTTATAATACTGATGGGTTGTTTCATGGAAAAGAGACAGCCTACATGATTCCCTTGCTTTCAGATATTTTTCAGAAGATAATACACAAAGGTAGAGAAAGTTATCTCTGTTCCAGATGGTATAGCTATGACTGTAATGTTTGCCTACTTAATAAGGAAGAGAACCATACAGATCTCTTGGATCTTCCATCATTAGACCATATTCTATTTGATTTGCTTGGAGCCAAATTTGTGTCAGCGTGGAAGCGTGAAAAGTGCTGCAGCTTCACTTTCCCCTTCTTCAAAGAGTTAGCTGCTCATTTCAGGAAGCTTTATTGTAATAACAGGTGTATTCCTGCACACCTCTTTAGACTCAGCTTCCTGCAGGCAAGAAGATTCAGGCAGCATCTCTTAAATGCCACTTAATTACATAATTCTTATTCTCGCTGTATTGCATTACTCCTCCATTATTTTCCTTTCTCTTTCCCTCTCCAGCTGGAGCCCTATATGGATGAGAACTTCATTTCAAGAGCTTTTGCTACTATGGGAGAACTAGTTCTGAGTGTGAAGATAATTCGGAATAGATTGACGGGGTATTTATTTGTTTTTTATTTATTAGCTATTGATGTGCATATTCAGAATAGATTGATGGGGTATTTATTTGTTTTTTATTTATTAGCTATTGATGTACAAATTAGTACTTTGGTGGGAGGGAGAGGTTATTTTCAACCCATCTACAGATTGTTTGACGGATACTGATTTAATTCCTACTTTGTGCTAAGCCACAATTTAACCATGGTTTGTTGAATAAGCCACCATTTTGTAACTTCTACGTGAAGCATAAACCATGGTATACAGATCCTAGTGTCTGGGTTCCTACTCCACATTAGACTGAAACTAGACAAGCCGTGTTATGGCTTGGGGCTATCTATAAAATGAGCTCCTGTTTATTAACCACATCTAGTTTGTCACAGGGAAATGCTCATTCAGAGTCAGTCCATTAGATCAATCTTCTTCACTAATTGATTGTAGCTCCCTGGGATTTGAGTCAAGAAACTCTCCTAGGCCTTTTTAGGAATGGGAGCCCCCAAAACGATTCTGCCAAAATTGTTAAAGCAATGAAGAGACAGATCATGAATTATTCCTTTTCAAGTGCATGTAATTTCAATCTGGTATCTATATGAATGCCGCCTTAATTTGTCTTGAGAACATCACTCTGTAAACAGGTTGCCACTACTGGAAAAGCTGTCATCCTGGTCGCCATCTCTATGGCCTCTGTTGCAGAACATAATTGACACGTTGTTTGAGATATGATTGCCAAGTCCTGGTTTCTCACTTTGCAGTAAAGCAGAACATAAGAAGAATTGTGCTGGATCAGACAAAAGGCCTATCTAGCCCAGCATTCTGTTCCCACAATGGCCAAAGGGATACCTCTGGGAAACTCATAAGCAGGACATGAGAGCAATAGCGCCCTCCTGCTAGTGTTTTCCAGCAACTGGGATTTGAGAGGCGTACTGCCTTGACACCAGAGGTAATATATAGCTATTGTGGCTAGTAAACATTGGTAGCATTATTCTCCACAACATTTTTCACTGGCCGGCACAAACATGGGCAATGTATGACATATTTCTCTCCTTCCAGGATTCCAGCAGGCTATTGCTTTGTAGAATTTGCTGATCTTGCCACAGCAGAGAAATGTTTACATAAAATCAACGGGAAGCCCCTTCCTGGTGCAACCCCTGTAAGTAAATGAGATCATCTGAAAACCAGGGCCGAAATCCTAAGTGTGCAGATACTTGGGAGGAAGCCCCACTTAAGTCGTCGGTATTTCTAAATAATCATTATTGTCATATCATATTTTTATTCTACCTTTTATATATATTGGTCAACTCAAGGTTGACCAACAATCCTGCGAGGTGGGTTGGACTAAGACAGAAGGACTGGCCCAAAGTCACCCAGCCAGCTTTCAAACCTAAGTCTCCTGGTTTCTAGGCCAGCCCCTGTGCTGTACAAGATGGTATTATGGGGTTGGGTCCACTAAAGTACTCAGAATAGTAAGGAAAAGGGCTTATGCCAGTAACGTATATTTCAGTTGGTACAAATATATCTGAGTATTCCATCTATGTGAGATGGATGGCTGTATAAATGTGATGTATAAATAAAATAAAATGTGAGCTTAGCTGTAGGACAGAAAGAGTTAACCAAATCACAGTGTGGCAAAACTCGATTGCTTTTTTAAACTGTATGGTTGGTATTTCCCTTGAACAATCATTTTTTGAAATGTCTTTTCTCTTTGCACCTTTATTTTGTATTTCAGACAAAGCGTTTTAAATTAAACTATGCCACATACGGGAAGCAGCCTGATAATAGGTAAGCTAAATTGTAAGAGAAGCATTTCCATTTTCTTACCTGTCAGGGGGCTCCAGTGTGCTGTTTGGCTTATTTTTCCTAAGAAAATATTGCAGGGTAATCCCCACACAAGTGTACCAAGCACTGACGCTATCTGGTACTGTTAGCCTGGGTGGATGAAAGTTCCCTGGCAGTTGTACAAGTTTTTCCAGCTTATGCTACTAACTCTGCTATTATCCAATGCAGTGGTTAGTGTGGATGCATTTTACTCATTAATTGATAGCATCAGCAGTCACTTACTCGGACAAAGCAGCAGTGGCACCTTAGAAACTTTGCAAACATACAGGGAGTCCTCTACTTATGACCAGTTGTTTAATGACCATTCAGAGTTACGATGGCCTCAGAAAGGGTGCTTTATGGCCCTTAAAGCACTTCCAGCTGTCATAAAATGCCCCCTTGTGGTCACGTGACCATATTTTGGGCTCTTGGCAACTGGCTTGCATTTACAACTGGTTGCCAAGCCCCCCCCCCCGTGATCATGTGGTCACCATTTGCAATCTTCTCTGCCAGTTTCCCTAGAATCTCAGTGGGGAAGCCGGCAGGGAAGGTTGCAAGCAGAGGGGACAGAAGAGAGGGAAAACTCCTGATGGGGCTGCAGGAATGGATCTCAAATCCTTAAGATTTCAGCTCCGTTCCTGCAGCCCCGTGAAAGATTTCCCCTCTGTGCAAGGAGGGGAGGGGAAACCCTTCGGCACGCTGCAGGAACATTTAAGAGCAAAAAGGCTGCCTGCTGAGAGGATTTCAGCTCCTTGTAGAGCTGAAATCCTTCAGCAGGCAGCCCTTTCACTCCGTCTGCTTAACAACCCAGGAGATCGCTTAATGACCACTACCAGGAATGCCTGGATTGCAGTCGTTGAGTGAAGCAGTCATGTGGGCATTTTGCTTAACTGCTTCGCTCAATGATCGAAATTGTGGCCCCAATTGTCATTAAGTGAGGACTATCTGTATTAAGTTTTAATGGTGCCAACAGCCTGGAATCCAAAGAACTGGGCCATTAGTTCATGCATGTTTTAGTCCATCAGAAAGCAGTGCCACGTCAAAGCCATTTCATCCATCTTGGAAACAATGGATTTTCAAAACCAGTTTTTTATATGTATGGAGGAGAAGCTAATAATTGATACTATCTTTCCACTGATTTGGCTTGAACACATACAAGTAGTCCTCAACTTACAATTGTAGGGACCGGAAAATTCATTGTTAAGCGGTGCAGTCATTAAGTAAGGCATCACATGATCACACCTGATTTTAAGACATCTTTCACGATGGTTAAGTGCATCATGTGTTTCCCTATTGATTTTGCTTGTTGGAAGCAGGCTGGGAAGGTCACAAATGGCGATCATGTGATCCTGGGATGCTGAAACCATCATAAATACATGCTGGTTGCCAAGCACCAGAATTTTGATCGCATGACCGTGGGGACACTGCGACAGTCATAAGTGCAAGGACTGGTCATAAGTCAATTTTTTCAGCGCCGTCATAATTTTGAATGATTGCTAAACAAATGGTCGTAAGTCGAGGACTACCTGTGGCTGTCAGTCCTAACTGCTTTAAGTTCAGTTCTGAAACTTCCTGTTTTTCCTTTACTTCACCTATCCACTTTGTATCATATCTGTTTAAACTGTAAACAATATGATGAAATAGGAACAACTTTTAGGAAGGCAATGCATAAAAATAGGAAGAAAACAGATACAATCGCATTGGCATAACCCAGCATACTATTTAAGGCAGCCCTTTGAATCTAGCCACCCTTTCCTATTATGCATCACTTTTTTTCTACCAAATCATCAATACATTGAACTATGTAGTAATCAAATGGAAAGTTAACTTTGTACCTAAAGAAACTGGTTAGACTGATGGAATTTTCTCCCAAATAAGAGCCATGGAACATTGATAGCCTAGACTGTATTTGAGGGGAAGAAACAGCAATAAAGTTTGAGACTGTTTCTATTAATGGTAAAAGCATTTGGAGTCTTGTTCCTAGTTTCTTACGGTATTATTAATGACTATCACTCAGTGAAATGCTTAGCACTATGAAGATAGTTACCACATCTTGTTATTAGAACTATTATCATTTAATGTTCAGAAGTTACTAAGTTAAAGTAAGTAGTGAATTTTTCTGTAATAAAACTTAAGTGAGGAACTTGTGGCAGAGAACCAAAGACTCTTGGAGTTCTGCTTATCACAGGACAGCAGATGGTACAGTGCCCCTTGATACCTCCTGGTACAGTTCCAGCTCATACTTAATTTATGAAAAACTCTAAAGGCTATTCATTTGTCTGGGGAGGTGCTCTTGCCTAAAGAAATCATATACAAAACTTCTCAGTATATTTTTCACCCAAACCCCCAAATAAATGTAGCTTCCCCCCCCATGTGTATTTCTGAATAAGTGTTGTGCTTCTGTAGGCGTCAGGAGACAGGAGAATGTAAAAGTGAAATTAAGCAATCGCTTAAAGCAGTGTTTCTCAACCTCAGCAACTTTAAGATGTAAGGACTTCAACTCCCAGAATTCCCCAGTTAGCAAAATGCTGGCTGGAGAATTCTGGTATTTGAAGTCCACACATCTTAAAAGTTGCCAAGGTTGAGAAACACTGCCTTAAAATATTGCTTAGACTGAACACAATTACAGGTTACAACTGTCATTGGTTTTCTTGAGAACAAAGCAGGAAATAAGGCATCCTGTGGCATTTTTAAACAGAAAGTTTAAAATTGTGGCACAAGAGTTAAAATAAGTTTTAATTCATTTATAGCCTTTCTTTCCCTATGTTTACTTGTTTTTACTGCAGAGGGCACTAGATGCATTTATCTGCTGCTTAACTGGAATCAGTAACATGGGGCTTACCAGATTCCTTGGTCTACCTGAGTTCTTAAATGCTTCAAAATTCTCTTTTTCTTAAAAGGGGGATGCTGGGGGGAGGAACTAGCCTGCAGAAAAGCAAAGCACCAGCCTCCAGCATCATCTTCCTTTCCAAGAATGCCTCTGAGCTGCTCACTGTCTTTTGGAGTGGGGTGGCTATAATAAATCTAGATGGAGATAATGATGATATTAAATATTATTAAATATTAAAGCTTTCTCAGAAAATAAAGATGATGGATGGTACAAATCCAATGCTTAGTTTGGGAAGGTCTCTACCCACACAAAAAATGCACAGGGTAACCAGAGTACTAGGGAGGATTCTGCATAGAGAATGATAGGTAGCATGCTGATGAACGGTTGCTTTGTGACCAGTTGCACAGTCACAACGTGGGGCAGTGCCTGGCCAACCTCGGCTGCCCTCAAGTAAGCTAAGGAGAGTCAAAGCGACTTAGGGCACAGATGGGAGGCCAGAAGGAAATCCCAGGATCATAAGAAAGTGGGCAAACATCCTGCAAGAAGGCAATGGCAAGCAAGAAAATTACATGGATGTCTTAGGTAGTCATCAGGAGTTAAGCTCGATGCAAGGTAGATTTTATCTTTTAACTGGTTATATCCCTCACAGCTGCCATTTTGGGCCTGGGATATGTCCCAAGCTCTGCCATCTTTCTGCAAAAGTGTCACCGCTGGTTTTCAGTTCAGCTCCATCAGCCCCAAAAGTTTGACGTTCCTGGCTGATCTCCTAAAAATAATTCATGGATGCTAATTGAGTTTTGTTGATGGCTGCCTTTGGAAAATTGCTATTCTTTCTCTGTTTTCATCCTACAGCCCAGAATACTCCCTGTTTGTTGGAGATCTTTCCCCTGATGTAGATGACGGGATGATATATGAATTTTTTGTAAAAGTATACCCATCATGTCGAGGCGGAAAAGTGGTCGTGGATCAGACGGGCGTTTCCAAGTAAGCTTTTCCAACATGTGCTTTGCATTATTGGCTACTGTATTACAATAGATGAAACAAGCCTCTCCTGTGTGGAGATGCTCCTTCTCCCTATATTTCGGTTAAGAGAACTGAAATCTGGAAAGATCTAGCTGTACTAAATTTTGTAGTTAATATTCAGACACTAATCCAGGGGAGGGAAGCAAGATAGATGTAAAAAGGCATTCATGCCTCTGTAGTTTTATCTGTCCGGTGTAAACTGCGATCTTTTAGCTTTTCTGTTCTTTATTACGGTAGATGCCTCTGAACTGTATAATGATGGCTTATTCACTGCAGTGGCCCAACAGAATTAAAATAACCTGCCAGTATCCATTCCAGTGCACAAACGATTTGCAGCTAGCTTAAGTCCCATGTATACTCATTGGTGCATCTCTATAGGGTAGTCCTACCATAGGTAGATGTAGAAGCATTTCCGCAGAACGAAAATCCTCTTTTAACTAAAGAAAACAAATGCCAAATGGAGCACAGATTCTGGGTGGTTCCCCCCCCCCCGCCCTTGGTTTAAACTAGCAAAATGCTTGCATATCCAACCTCTTGCATGACCATTCCTCATAGACGGAATCTTGTAAGCCGTAATAAAAGAAAACTAAACCTTCCAGAAGATAGTAAATCCTGAAAATTTCCAGTGATGAAAGTCCACTGTTCTAATAAGTTAGTGTTTCTCAACCTTGGCAACTTTTAAGGTGTGTGCACTTCAACTCCCAGGGTTCCCTAGCCTTCCCAGGTCAAGGATAAACAAGGGGAAACCACATTCCAAAAAGTACTAAGAAGAGCCAAGCCAAAACTACATTTTAAATGTCATTAAATTTTAATGTAATTAATATGATTCCCCAAATATGTATTTAGTAATTTTCCTTCTCCATTATATCAAATGTCCTAAGTTGATAACAAGTTTTGAAAGTCTCTGGGGGGTGTACCCCAGGCTTATAGGGAGTATACAGTATATTCCCCTCCATACTCTTAATTAATTAAGCCTATTAAATTAAACATTGCAAAGTTTTCAGTTATTTCTGAGAAGTGGTTCGGTAAAATGAGGGTGGCAAACAAGCCAAAAACACTGCAAAGTTTCTCCTACAGCTTCTTAGAAGGTGTAAGCTTACTTCCTCTTTTACCTTCCTGTTGCTTATTCTGTGTTTTTACAGAGGCTATGGTTTTGTGAAATTCTCAGATGAATTGGAGCAGAAAAGAGCACTGGTAGAATGCCAGGGGGCTGTTGGCCTTGGTTCTAAGCCGATACGCTTGAGCGTTGCCATACCAAAAGCGTAAGTAGAGTTGTGAAGGTGTGCTTAATTCAGCAATTCCGCTCATTTAGGTTATACGTTGTGATTCTTCTCTTATGTTGGAAGCTATCATGGCTTCCTAAAAGGTGATCTAAAAAGATTTAGATAAATACATTAATTCAAGGATGGATTCCTTGGAGGGCTGCCTTAGAAGCTTGACTGAAAGCCTTAGTGCATGTTCAGGCAACCTGTAGGCTTCCAGATGTTATTGAACTCCAAGCGATGCCAGCCAGCTTGGCCTAATGCTGAAGATGTGGGATTTATAGTTCATTCAATCTAGAGTGCCGCAGCTTCCCTATTCCTAAGCGAGTGGGACACAGTGAATAAAGTTGTTATAAACACCACTCAGCAGAACACAGTTATGATTTATTTGATGGCCTCGGAATGAAATGAGCATAACTTAAGGATTTTTGTCATAGATTGAATTTTGTTCAAAAATGTTCTAGACTTCTTGTCATTTACTCTTCCTTTCTTTTCAAAGTAATAGGCTGAAGATGGTTGAGTACAATCAGATGTACAACTATAACTATAACCAGTACTACCAACAGTATCAGAACTACTATGCCCATTGGGGATATGATCAAAACACCGGCAGTTACAGCTACAGCTACCCACAATATGGCTACACGCAGAGTACCATGCAGGTGAGAGTAGAGAAGATTTCTAGGCATTGTTGTTCCTTATTTCAAGACAAGCCTCAAAGTTGCAGTCCTTTGGCTGTGCAGGTCCTGTAAAGCTTTGTGTTAAATGCGTCTAAATAAACGTAGAATTTTAGAACAAAACAGCCTTCTCCAAATATGGAGGTTGAGAAGTCTGGGGTTTGAAAGCCAAACACCTGGAACGTACTTAGGTTGAGGGAAACTAGATTAGAATCCTACGGCTGGAAGGTCCCATTTGAGTCCCTTCGGTCATATTTAAAAACACACACACACACACACACACTTTGGTGTCTGTAAACCTTTGAAGGTGCTCTGGGAGCCTATCTAAATTTGGGGGGTGAGGGGTGGGAGAAGCACACACGGGTAATTATATATTTAAATTATATTTAAATTGGTTTAAACCAACAGGTTTGGCAGAAGACCTTT